GCTGGCTCAGCTGACTTTTTAAATAGTATGTGCAGAGTGCCTCTCTCCAATTTTCATGGTCACACACTGGGCCAGAGTGTGGCAGATGAAATGACTTTTTGTTTAAAGCGCCATCCCAAGTAAATTGAGTGCCCCCTGCCCTGGCCAAAAGCATCTGGTCCACACTTGTACTTGCCAGCTAGGTATTGGTGCATGGTACTCTTGGACTTGAGTTTGAGCCTGACCTCATCCTGAGGGTTTGCCCAGTCAGAAGAGGCCTGCCCAATGCCTCACTACACTGCCTTTTTTGCACCCCTAGCCAGTATTAGCCTATCCCTGCTAAGCTACCAACTATGACTTAGTCTACTCAACGATGGCTAGATGGGCAATGGTTTTTCTCTTCACTTTCAGGTTCACAGGCCAGTGCAAATGCCCAGGGACAAAGGTGGTGAGGTTGGACAGAGGCAGCGATTCACACGGGCCTCACTCTCACTATAGCCTGTAGGCAGAGAAGAGAGAAATCTGAACACAGCATCTGCTGGCTTAGGCAGCTTAAGGACCAGAGAGAAAGATGCTGCCACTCACATTGGTGCTCTGGTGTTGAGTGTCGGTCCTGCTCACTGCTGAGAAGGCACTAGCCCCTGGGGCAAACAAGTAACACACTGTGGTCCTGGGATGGAGTCTGGGCGTATGTGATTGGAGGTTTTTAGGTCTCTTTAGTGGTTCTTCAGTTTTCAATAAAGCTGTGCAGACACGCAGCCCAACTGGAAGCAGTTTTGCTTGGATGTTGTGCAGGACCTCTGTCTCCCTGGGCATCAAAGACTACTACCAAAGGCTGAGGTAATTTTGGGGTACTCCAAGTAATTTGACTACTCCAAAGCCCCAGGTAATAATAGGGTGCAGACAACCTGGGGAGAGGGGAGAGGGCAGAGAGTCAGATCAAACATCCAAGGGGTAGATCTTTGCCCCTTAGCTCTCCAGGGCTGGGCCCCCACCCTAGGAGAGAAGCCTATTCAGTGGGCTTTAGAATTCAGAGTAGATCGAATGGGCTCTCTCTGACACTACAACCTACCTGGTACGATGACTGCATGGCCTCGGCCATTCCTACCTGAGTGCCCAACACAGTACAATGTGTCTTGACCCAACAGATCCCTGAATTGAGAGGGAGATCTGTGAGGTCAGCTCACAGGTGAACTTGAGCCTAAGTCCTGAGTGGCAAAGAGTTATCCCTCCGTGGCCTTGCCCAGGCAGGCTCCTGTGGGGGTTCCTGCTTTTCTCTTTACCCCACCTACTATATGTGTGGATGTTTCCCTGATTTTTCTAGCCAATTCCATGAAGGCCCTGTGGGAAGTGCCTCCTCCCCAGGACACTCCCTCAGGAGAGGGGAGAAGAGAGGGAGGAAGGGAGGGGACGGGAAGTAAAGGAAGAGGCAAGGAGGGGAGGAAGAAAGTAAGGAAAGAGCTAAAATAGGAGGAGGTGCTGATGGCTGCCCAGCCATGGCTGCAGGCCTAGAATTACCCATCAGCCTCAGCTCCTGCCTAGGACCCATAAGTTCCACTGCTCATAGAAATGGGAGCTCTGGGATTGTGCAAAGTGTGGCCTTTGCTCTCCTACATGATGGGCCCAATGCTATTGCCCTAGGGGTCTTGTCCCTCTACTCATGTGGCTACAGCTGGCCTGTGGTATTCTTGAGTACAGCTGTGAGGTAAATGTAGGTACAGGGAGAGGTGGGTAGTAGAAACAGTCTTCTGTGGGAGCTCTGAAAAATCAGATCCTATAGAGGTGAACTCTGTAGGAAAGACCTCAAAGCATTTCATCATATAAATCCCCTGTGAGGAGTTCATTCAAGAGCACTTGAGAGAGGCAGGACTGTAAGCATCCCAGACACTGAGTATCTGGACCAGTATTCAAATGTCTTTCTATCCCCTGGAGGATAGAGGAGTCTAAGAGGATGGTATTACCTGCACATACCTGCAAAGTGCATCAAGAGCCTGTTGCTAGATAGTCCTAGAAAGGTTTTTTGAGGCCACACCTGTGGGGACACTATCAGGATTGGGATCCTAGAGCAGAAAGAGTTAGAGGGAAAGAAGACCAGGCTGGTATTAGCTGTGGGGTCCCTGAACTGGACCTAGCTTTGCAGCAGAACCCAGCTGCTGCTCAGCATATGACATGTCTGCAGAGAAGCCCTGGGAGCTACCACATTTCAGAATAGTGATGAGAAGCACCGTTTATCTTCACAGCTCCCATCTCCTGCCTCTCATTGGTCAAAGCTGAGTATTGATCCCCACCTGGGTATTGATCTCCACCCTCTGGAAGGTTCCTTGGCCCCTCCCACAGCCACTGCATGCAGCCTGAAAATCAAGCAGTGCAGACATAGACTCTGGCAAATGGATCTGGGCCACACATAAACCAATTCCAGTTTCCTGAAATCAGCATATGCCATTTATAAAATGAATTTTCTCAGAACATTTGACAAGGGAAGGCTGACCAGGACCAGTATGTCCAGCAAGCATAAGCATGGCCTTCTTGCCCTCATGGGTAGATGCATTGTTCCCTGTGTCCAGCAGGAAGTTGAGTAAGAAACCACTGCAAAGTTCGGTGGGCAGGGGACAGGGATGTCATGAAATGACCTTAAACATCTTCCCACTACACCTTATTTTGCTAGGCCTCTATACGCAGGCAAGAGCAACAAATAATTAAGAAAAAAAGAATCACATCTTTGAATTGTGATGAAGTTTAACAAAAAATTCCATAGGGGGGCTGGGAAGGTGGCTCAGTGGTAGAGCACTTGCCTTGCATGCATGAGGCCCTGGGTTCGATTCCTTAGCACCACATAAGCAAAAAGAAAAAAGCCACAAGTGGCACTATGGCTCAAGTGGTAGAGCGCTAGGCTTGAGCTGAAGAGCTGAGGGACAGTGCTCAGGCCCAGAGTTCAGGCCCTATGACTGGACCCCCCCCAAAAAAAAATTCCATAGGATGCTCCTACCCAACCCTCATGGCCCCTGTCACTTCTCATTGGTACTGACAGAAGAGTGGCCTACTGCTGGGTCCGTGCTCCCTACCTTATACATTCTTTGTGAAGCAGAGCACTGGTCTCCATCAGCAGAGAAAAGGACAGGGAGTCCTTTTCAGTTGTCAATATTTAAAAAGCTTTCTAACTTTAAAGGACTGCCTCTGCTTGACTGTTAACAAACTGGAACATTCAGTTACCTGGAAAATCCCCATCCCTAAAATATTTAGGGAACCTGAGCCTGCTCTAGAAAATAAAAATTGATTTTCTGTCCCACAGGTCTTGTCACCGAGTGTGCAGCCCCTGGAGGAAGGGGGCTGCCCAGGAGTCTGGGTCCAGGGAGTCCTAGCTCCCCTCTGCAGCCCTCACTTCCTGGTGGCTGGTCTCTGTGTCACTCTCTGGTGCCTCACGTGGGCCCAGCTACTGTATCAGGATGTAATTCACTGGCTGCCCCACAAGTCTAGGCTCTGCTGAGCCCATCAGGACAGGGACAATAAGGTGGCAGCTCAAAGGCTATTTCTAAGGCTCATGGTCGATGGACCACACCAGCCATGATTATCATTTTAATTACCATGCCTTGGAGTCCTTACATTCAAGGTACAGATTTCAAAGAGCACAAAGCCCTCTTGGGCTCCAAAGGGACTGTGTCACAGATCAGCAGGGGCCCATAACCACAGCATTCTTGCTTGCTCTAGCTAACAGATTTACCTAGAAAGGAGAATTCTGACTCTTCCAAGATCTGGCTATGGTCCCACCTCCTCTGGTACCTTCACTTGAGCCCACACTTGGTCCCCTTTTGTCAAGGACTCTTCCCACTATCCTGCCTAGAACTCCTTAGCACCTCATGATTTTCCTCCCCCTGGTTTGCTGTCTCAGGGTGTTGGGAACTGTTAAAGACCTCCTGCTCTGTCTTGCTTCCATTAGGACATGCTGCAGTCTTAGTGAGCAGGAGGCATGTCTGACTCTTTCCCAAGTCCTATGATCAGCAAGTGCTTGACATACATTCTTTGCACAGGTCATGCCTGTCCTGGAAATCTGTCCTAATTCTGGCTTTCCAGAGTGGAATACTCTTTGAGCATTTAAAGTTACATGATATAATTCACATAAAATTGATTGTATTTATTATTCAGTAAATACTTAATATGTATAAACAACACAGCTTAGAATTTATCGTTAGTCATGTGGGGTTCATGGTTTGACCCACAGTGACTAAAGCCAAGAGAGTCAGCCCTTGCAGTACTGAGGATATGCGGGAGGACCTTGCCCATGCTAGACAGGTGCTATACCAATGGAGCTCAATCCTGGCCCCTCCACTGGACTAGGGGTTTGTGGTAATCAGAGGGCAGCACTGAGGTGCTGACAAACATGCCTGGTTCGCATGCTGAGACCTGAGCTTCAGGGTTATCAGACCATAATCAAGAATTCCTCATTAGAGTTCCAAACTGCTGCCTGCAAAATGCCCTTTGTCCTCATTTAGGCCACTCTAAAAGCCACTTTCCCCTAAGCAGCTTTTGCCTTCTGGAGAAGCTCTGCCAGAGGGAGTGAGTCTGGAGCCAGAATGGAACTCAGCATTCCTAGAAGCTCTGGCCTGGTCCTGAGTCACAGCAAAACAGAGGCAATTTGCTGCATTGTGACGGTGAGCCAAGAGAAGGCTAATTGTACAAAGCTTTTCCCTTACTTATACTCAGTTTGTGCAGTATTGGTGGACAGATACAGGAGGTGTGACTATGGGCCTCCCTGGAGACAGGAGCAATGTCAGATTCCTCCCTAGAACCCAGTGTGAGCACACCTAACATCAGTTGCTGTTGGCTGAGTGACTGAGTGGGGGTTTGAAGTTAGAGGTGGGGTAAGCCAGGACATGTGAGCTGGGTTGGACTTAGCCAAGGCTCCTAGGTGTATCTGGGGACAGTGGGAGCAGCCTGCTCCTGAGGTGCCCTGTGTTTACCCCGGGGTGGCCCCTTATCTCCACCCCTGAGTGACTGCAGCAGCCTCCCCACTCCTGTGCTTCCAGAACTATTTTGAGAGCTACCTGGCCATCGCCTCCACCGTGCCCTCCCTGCTGTGCCTCATGGCCAACTTCCTGCTTGTTAACAGGTAGGCTACCTTCCCCATTCTCTGACCTCCACCCTTGTCTCCTCCCTCCCCTTCCCTCTAATCTCTGACTGCTTTTTATTGTGCTTAGGTGACAGCCGCCCAAGTAAGAGTAGCTCAGCCTTGGCTTCACAGCTCATATGTCAGGTCAGGTGCCTGGGGTGCCAGGGCAGGAGCCAGAAGTTCTCCAGCCCTGCTTGGGGACATGTGATCAGCAGCTCGCAGGAGGTATGTGGGGACACATACCTCCCTTCAAGTTAAAAGAACATCAAGTCGACCTGGCCTGTGGACACCCTTCTCACTTCCTGTACCCCTACTCCCATGACCCTCACCATCCTCAATTTGAGCTTAGGAAGGTAGTAGCTATAGCCCCTTTGCCTGCATTTCCCCAAAGCTTCCACTAAATGATTATGGTGGCTTCTCTTTGGCCTTCAATTGGGCAGAGCATCTTGAAACCTTAGATCACAGATGCACATCTGTTTTACTCATCTCTGACCAATTTGAGACAATTTCCAGTTCCATGGTTGAACATGTTTCTAAAGCAGATCTTGGCCTCAAGGTGTATGCTGTGCTCGATTAGTGATGTCTGCTTTGGGTATAGCGGAGAAAGGGCAGCATGAGTACATGAATGCTAAGTTTGAATAAGTTTAGTAAATATATCATGCTATAGGGCTGCAGTGATCCCTTCTGTATGTAATATATGCTCAAAGCATAATGGCTAGAAGCAGGAGCAGTAATTAGATTCTGCGGGTGGGAAAGGCAGGTCGGTTATGTACCTCATGCAGGTGCAGTTAGAGCAGGTAGGGCTGGAGGCCATTCATTCCCTCTCATCTTTTGTCTTTCCTCCTCTTCCCTCACCTGTGGGCAACAGGGTAACAGGAGGTAACATTGTCACTGAAGAGCAAATGCTTCAAGAGAGCCAGGGAAATCCCTGGCAGATTTTGCAACTTGACCAGCCAAGTCACATTGTGTCACTTTAACCCCAATTGACAGGTCAGAGCCATTGCCATGCCCACTCCATTTCCAGGGGACCTCCTCCCCCACCTCTCCATAGGAAGAGAGAATTTGCATCCCTTTGAAACTCAAGTACAATCTAGAAGAGATGAAAGAATTCAGACAGGCCTGCAGGCTTCATATCCCCAACAAATCATCTGGCCTCTGATCCCACCTTTGGCCCCCAGGACTGTAGTTAGTGTCCTCCCAGGGGAGGCACGGCCTATTGAGACCCCATCCCCAGGAGGAGGAGGAAAGAGTGTTGCCAAGATCACCTGGGTATGTGACCATCACCACCAGCAGAGCAGTATCTTTGGAGGTATCTGGAAGGAAGGAGGAGAGCAAGGGCATGGCAGACAAGATTTGAGGAGGAGAAGGGCAGCCACAATGTGAGGAAACACCAGCCATTTCTCCTCTGGGCTTCTTATGGATCTCCACTTGCTGGTGGCCTCAGGGATGAGGTGTGGGTCCAGCTGTGATTGCCCAGGCTCTCATGAATGAACTCTCTTGCCCTTTGTAGCTCCCCATCTGAAGGGTACAAGGTGCAGTGCCCCAGTTACCCACTTTCATGCCCATCGGGATATGTGGGGACCCTGAAGGGAGGAGTGACATCACCCTGTCTTTCAAATTGAAGGTGGGCGGAGGCCCAGGGCCACGACAGGATGGCCCAGCTGTGTCTCCCCTGGTCTCTCCCTCAGTGGTCATGGAGGTCCAGCAGGCTGGAAGTCAGCCTAGGACTAAGGTTAGCAGCAGCACAAAGGCCCAGCTCCAGTGAGACCCATCAGCATATCTGAGCAGCTGTCCTGCAGGTACGGCATGGTGGCACCTGTCAGCAGGAAGCTCTCTTGACTCTGCTTGAGGGTAGGAGAACAGCCAATGGAGGTGACCAGTCTAGGTCACATGGCCATTCAGGGTGGAGCCAGGATTTGTTCCAGCTGGACCTCTGGACACCTGCTTCCCTGTCCCCGGCTTTATATCCCTACCTCCATACTCCAGACTTCAGGCTACTGGGCAGGAAGGAGGCCTTGAGGAAGGGGCTGGTGGGGAGCTGGTCCACCAGCCAGGAGCCTGCCCTTGCCCTTGCCCTTGCCCTTGCCCTTGCCCTTGCCCAGGAGGACTGAGGGCCATGTTGGGAAACATTCCTACCCTCCACCTGTTTCCAGGCTGTGGGAAGATGTTTTGGGCTAAGCTGTTTTTTATTTCATGTGCAAAAATTGAAATGTCTCTTTCTCTGCCCCCTGGAGCACCCTGGCTTTCTCTGACTGGCTCATCTGTAATCGCCAAGTGTTTTATTATGTTAAATCTGGAGTATCATAAATACTTATGAGGAGGATTTACATTTTGGAGACTTATGAAGAAATCAGTCCCCTGGGGTCCTAAGCCCTCACTGGCAAGTGAGGTAGAGACTAGCAACCCTCCCTATGGATCTCCACAGTCCCCAACGTGGCCTGCCCTGGCATTGTGGGACATAGCTGGCATTGTGACCGTGCTTTGTTCCCAAGTTGAAGAACTCTGACACCCAGCAGCACCTACCTGGCCTTTACTGTTCCCCAAAACATTATCATCCTGGGCTACTCTCCCTGCCAGGAATGAGAGGCAGAGTGGGGGTTAGTGTGGCTCATGATGCCCATGGGGTGAGTTTTGAAAAAGCCCCAGGTGGCTCCAAGGCCTGGAGCCTGCAGATGGAGGGCAGCTGGACCGAAGGAAATGGGCAAATGCTGAGGCCCCTGGGCAGCTGTGGGAATTATGGGGAGGGGCAAAGGCAGCCAGGCTTTTGTGGTACAATTGGCATATACTCCCACATTCCACTCCTCCCTTCTTTACTGCCCTGAAACAGCCTGAATAAGATGTTCTCCAGTTTTCTGCAAAGCTACCTTCATGTTCAAGCAAGGACAAGTTCCTGGGGAGGACATTTTAGCCTGTCAGAATCCGATGGGAGTGTGGGGCAATTTCCTGTCTCTGAGGGGGTGGAAAAGATGATGGAAGCTGGGAGATTTAGAACAGTGTGGAAATCCCCCACTCTTCTGGGCTGCCCTGCTAGTCATTTACACCCTGCTAGTCATTTTGGACATCCAGCCAGTATTTACCACGTGCCTCTGTCTCCTTTTGAATTTCTTCAGATTTAGAATTGCCACTATTAGGAACCTTCATTTTATTTAGTCCAACTTCTTTTTAAAAATGAGACAGGGAGGTCAGTTTGCCTAAGGTTATACAGTGAGTCCTGGCAGACTGTTGCTGGTTTATAACTTGGGTGTGATTGGGGCAGTCCAGCTACCAAGAGAAGGTGGCCTTGTGTGACAGGGTTGAATGTGTAGGGTCACCCTGAATATCAGGACTAAGGCTTAGCCACAAGCACCTAGTGTAGACTTACAATGAACAGTCTAACCTCCAGGCATCCAGCTGTTCCACCTGATTTCTTCCACAACCCCATCCTGGCTGGAACCCCTTTAAAGCCTGGGCAGATATATCTTAGGTTGGGGCCTTATTAGCCATTATGATGTGAGGGTTCCCAGAAACAGATTCTGGGATGAGGGTTCAATGAGTAGCTAATTTGGGACTGAAGGTAGGAAAGAAGGGAAAGAAAGGGAGCCAGGGGAGAATGCTTGTCAACTCAGTCCCCACACAGTACCTCTAGAGCTCAGTCTTGCCTAAATCTCAGGGAACCAGGGTAGAACACATACCTGAGAGGAAGGGAGGGAGCTGGGGGTGATGGGAGCATTGGATGAAGGCTGATCTTTCAAGGTGTTAACTGCCTGTCTCTTCCAGCCTGGTTCTGGACCAATGTACCCTAAAGTGGTTAAGAGGGAGAGCATGTGGGCAGGATACCTGCTGTATCTCTGGGGAGTTTCTGTGTTGTTCCCTAAAACTCTGATGGACCTCTTTGTGTTCATGGGTTCAGAAACACAAAAAGATTTACTCATTCTTTAATGGGAAGTTTGAGTCAGAGTTGCCTTCAGGCATTATTGGATGTAGGAGATCTTTGCATTATCCCTGGCTCTGTGGGTCCTTGCAAGACTCCATTTCATGTGCAGTTTTGCCCCACACAGCTGACAAGGTGACAGCAGCCTAGACATCCACCAGCATTCGCAGATCAGTGCCAAGGTAGACTGATGTGCCTGTGTGCAGATCCCTGACCCAGTCCCAATGGGAAAGGACATCCAGCCAGGTCTTGTATCCATTGTTTGAGGCTGGTCTGGTGTGGGCTATGAAGCCAGCCATCTCCCTAGACCAGCTTGGCATGGAGGAGCATTCTCAGGTGGGATAAGGGGACAGGTAGATAAACACCACAGCCTCTTTGACCTCACTCTGAGGATCAAGTCCTGGACTTGTAGCAGGGTCAGCAAACTGGACTCTCGCTGGAGTGCTTAATGACACAGCACCTCTTGCTGCTCTGCCCTGGGTCCCACACCCACAGTTCTGCACAGTAATTGTTCATTGCTTGTTTGTGGACCAAGGGCAGCTTCATAGAAACACACGGTGGCAGATTAAACCACCCTGGGTTCAGCACTTCTGGCTTTCTGTCCCAGCTCCCCACTGACACCCTGTGACCTTGAACTATCCCTTTACATCCTTAGCTTCAATCTGCAAAGCAGACTTGGTCCCTGCGAGATTTCTCTCCAAAGACCAGGAGACTAGCTGCCTTGGGCTAAGAACATACCTTGAAAATGCCCTTTCTTCCTCTCCCCCTTCCCACCTATTTACTACATAGGCCTCTATTTTTTCTACCTTTCAAGTTTGTCTTTCTTTTTTCTTTTTTTTTAAATTAAAAATCTGTGTATATCTAATATGCTCTCTTCTCTCTCTCTCTCTCTCTCTCTCTCTCACACACACACACACACACACACACACACACCACTAGCTACAAGCAAAATGAACTAAAGATCATTCTAGTTTAAAGCGTAGTCTAATTGATGGCTTACATAGCCTTGAGTTGGTGTTCTCTCTCCTGGATTAAGCAGCACTCTTTCTCTGACTGCCCTCTTCTCTGAGGTTTTCCCAGGGCAGGCAGGGGTTAGACAGAGTGCAGTAGATGCTCGGTGAAGGGTGGTGGTGCTGGCATGTGGGACCCTGGACTTAGTCTGCACTAATTTGGCCTCAGCAGCCCTCAACCCAGCTGAAATCTCCTGGGAGTTTCCCAGACCTGTCGCTTTCTGTGCCATGCAGACTCCTTTGTCCCAGGGGTGGAAGTAGGGCATCATTCTAAGACAGCTTGGCGTTGGGCCTCCTGGGGTCCCAGCTGAGTGACCTTGAACAAGCTCCTTCCCCTCTGATCTCAGCTCCTTCTGTGTACCAGGGATAGGGAAGAATTGCTACCTTTCAGAGCTGGTATGGGAAGTGAGTGGTAGCATTTAGAACACCTTGTCTTGAATTCAGGACTGTGTGATGACAGTGATGATCCCCCCTCCTCCATCTCTCACTGCTGAGTTTCAGGTACGGAAGCCCAGAGTTGATTACTCAGCTTGGACACTAGACAAAGCTAGCACTGTGATAGGAGGGGATGGTGCTTGCATGGCATCCAATCCTTGAGCTTCATTGCAAAGGAAACAAGCAGCAATGTCCACTAATGTCTGCCCTAAGCTGGGGCCTGCTGTCCATAATGCACAGGTCACTTTCCTGGAGCCTCACCTTCCCTCCCCACCCCCCCACACCCTTGAAGTGGATCTGTTCCTCCAGTGTGACCTGGACAGAAGCAAAAGCCAGGATACCTGAGTCATCTGAGACCACAGGACTGGTGATGAGGAAGCCAGGATTCAACCAGCCCCTCCACAGCAGAGCAGGCAGTCTCCCCATGGAGCTTGCCCACCCACTTCACCCAGACAGCTCCCCATCTGACCCTGTGGAAGCCTGTGAGATTTCTAACTGGTTCTGGGGTTCTCACCTCAGGGCTCCAGTCCATGTCCGTGTCCTGACCTCGCTGACCATCATGCTGGCTGTTTTCATGGTGATGATTGCATTAGTAAAGGTAGATACTTCCTCCTGGACCCGAGGCTTCTTCACTGTCACCATTGTCAGCGTGGTCATCGTCAGCAGCTCTTCCACCATCTTCAGCAGCAGCATCTTTGGTCTGACAGGCTTTTTCCCCATGAGGAATTCCCAGGCAATGATATCAGGTAAGGGCCAAGCTCCGGCCTCAGCCTCGGGAGGCTGGCCAGAGGCTGGCGATGGGAGGGACCAGAGGTGAGCATGGTGACCCCTCTAGAAAAGGAGATAGTGTATATCTAATCCCTGCTGTTGCAGAACAAACAGCCCAGACTCAGAGTCATTTAACTTATTTACAAAATAAATAAGGAGTTGGCAGGGACAGCTTGACTGGGGCTGAGGGAACACATTGAAGGTGGTACCCAGGGAGCCTGAAGGAGCCACTTCCAAGATGACTGCCAGTGGCTTTGGCTTCTTTCCACATGGGCCTCACCATGGCTTCTAGGGCTGCCCTGTGGCATGGTGCCAGGTCACATCCCAAAAGGCCCAGCAGAGCTGTATTTTGACAGAGCCATGAAAGCCACATAGGGCCACTGCCATGTAGCTGTTAGCTCGCCTGACTCAAGACACAGACCCACATGTATCAGTGGGTATGTAGAAGTAGAAGTCATGTGAAGAGGGCAAATGGAGGGGAGACAGTTAGGACATTTGTAGAAACCTGAGTCTGCTATCAAATGTCATTTTTTTTTTTTTTTTGTCAGTTGTGGAGCCTGAACTCTGGGCCTGGGTGCTGTCCCTGAGCTCTTCAGCTCAAGGCTAGCACTCTACCACTTGAGCCATAGCGCCACTTCCAGCTTTTTCTTCTTATGTGGGGCTGAGGAATCGAACCCAGGGCCGCATGCATGCAAGGCAAGCACTCCACCACTGAGCCATCTTCCCAGCCCTCAAATGTCATTTCTGAAACTAGTTTTCCTTTCCTTCCTCTCTTCCCTTCCTTATTTGCCCTCTTCCTTTCCCTTTCCCTTCTTGTTCATTTTCCTCCCTTTCTTCTCTTTCTAGTTTGTGAAGGACTTGCTCTGTGTGGGCCTCAAAGATGAACAAGACTGTCCTCTCAAATCCATAGTCTAGCGAATAAATTTGTGCTTACCTGGACAGCAGCACCCCGTGGGCTTACTCAGACCTGACCTAGCCTGACTTCTCTAACAGGAATTTTGTTGTTTGGGTTTTTGGCAGCATTGAGGTTTGAACTCGGGACCTTGCACTTGCTAGGCAAGTGTTCTGCCACTAAGCCATGCCCACAGCCATTCTAGCAGAATTTTTGATGCCCATTATCAGGATCTTGGCTCTTTTATCTCACTCAGATACCCCCATGAAGTAAATTGAGCTGACTGAGTTAGTGTCCCTGTGATACCCAGAGAATACCCTGCAGCAAGCCTGGAGGCTCTGCTACTCTGTGTCCACACACACACACAAACACACACACACACACACACACACACACACACACACCCTTGTGCAGAGGAATGCTTTAAACATATATACACACACCCTTGTGCAGAGGAATGCTTTAAACATATATACACACACCCTTGTGCAGAGGAATGCTTTAAACATATGCCAACCTGAGAAGCATCGCACAAAGGAGCTGCAGTGGGTATGAGTTAATCATGCTAGTAGTATGTGGCAGGGATGACAAGTACCTTGACAAGCAGATAGCCCCTCCCTACTCTGTGCCAGTGCCAGACATCACTAATAGATCTCTATCGTTCCTCTTGAGCCTTTAAATCCCTCTCCTGCCAGCACTTGAGGCAATTACTCTCTTTGGATCAGAGCGTAGATGTGAGCTTGTCTCTTTGCCATTTTTTTCTTTGCCATTTTTGATATAGGATTAGGCTGCTAGCTCTATCCTAGGAAAGCCTTGGGCCTAAAATAAAATAAAAACGAACTTGTTGCTAAGCTTTCTGAGTACCGTCAGCCTGCCCCAACAATGGTTCAAGAAAGGCAGGTCTGGGCAGAGGAAATGGCTGCCAGACCTTAACCCTTCCTCTGACCTTGGCCTCAGAAGGATTTTTCCCCCCCTTGGTTCCCTTAATCTACCAGGATTTTTCAGTACAGCTCCAGCCTTGCTGGCCACCTCTCCAGGAGCTGGTGGCCACATATGCCATTCGTGTTAACACGTGTTCCCATCCAGCTTCTAGCTACAGATCTCTAGGGAAGTAGTTTTCTGGGAATTTCTCAGAAAGTCCATATAAATGCACCTCTCTTTCCCCTGGTCCCTCTGTGTGTGACCCCCATGAGCACCCAGCAACCTGTACCATCTGAAGTGTTTCAGCTTCCCATAGGCCCTGCCCCCTCCCACACCCCCTTCTTTTTGTCAGAGGAGCCCATCTGTGAATTCTGCATGCATCTTGTCAGCATCTGAAGAACAATTCATTTGTTTGGTACTGGTGTTTTCTTAACCCCTCATTTGCATGTATTTCCATAACTGATGAGATAAACATAGGGAGTCATGAAGGATGAGCTCCCGGAGGCCTGGTTTGTGGTTGACGATAATATTGTAAATTCTCTACAACTTGGAGGGAGAAGGGAAACAGAGGAGGGGAAGGTAAGATCTCCTCCTCAGGGCAGCTGCCTAAAGTCTTCCAGAATATAACCCCACTGCTCACAGAACGTCTGGGGGATTATAGCTTCTCAGAAGTAAGGATCCTCATGGCGGAGGGTTTACCTGTTGTTAATGCTTTGATGTAAGAAGGACAGAAATAACCAAATACCTAAGTAGGAATCAGAGCGGGTTTATTTAGTACATGACACTTCTCAGCATCAGGCCCTGTTCTACATGAAATAATCCTTTGAATCTTTACAATGGCCCTAAAGGTGGTGGCTCTTCTTAACACCTCCATTTAATAGATGAGCAGATGGAAGCACAGAGAGGCTAAGGGACTTGCCAAAGATCACACAGCTAGCAGTAGGAAAGCTGTGATTGAAGGTTCTGAGCATGCTAGTGGAATATATGTTGGGAAAGGTGGGGGAAGGAATCATCTCTGGGGGCAGATGCTTCTTGCAGAGCCATGGCAATGCTGGGTGCTCTGGGCATGAGAGGAGCAGGGTTGGGCCTCACACAGTAGACAGGGGCCTCATGGGTTGCCATCCCCTCTCTGCCCCAAAGGAAAGTACTACCGGCCAATGACCAAGTAACTCTGTCTTCAGGGGCCAGTTTATGCCCTGTAGCTTGCAATCATCCTCTCAGATGCTCTGAAGCATTGACCTTCTGCAGCCCAGCACATTTACCAGGCCCTGGGTACCTTCCCTCTCCTACTGTTTCCTGCTCACTATACTCTCTTGGGATGGATAGCACAATAGTCAGCCCCATTTTCCAAGGAAACAGAGGCAGGGGAGAGAGTAAATGGCCTACTCTGCATTACAGCAGGATTCCCAAGTCTCTGGCTCTTGGCCAGTACTGAGTAACATCTCATTAGTGTGAAAGTTTAAAGAAAGGGAAGACAGCCCTGCCTCCCAGGAGCAACCAAACACCAGTGTTGTGGGCAGTCCCCATCATCTGGTCCTTTTTAGAGATCAGCTCCTTCAGTCTTCAAAGCAGCAGTAGTGCCAGGTGGGTTTTTTTCCCATTTCACGCATGAGCAAACTGGCCCAGAGAAGTCAGGTTAGCCTTCAAGGTCCCAGAGAGAGAGAGCGGGCAGGGGGAGCATGCAGCAATGTTAAGATCAGGTGTGCATCCATTTGTCTCTTAGAGCAGGGATGGGTAGGTTCTAGGTGCAGTGAAAGGATGGTGACAACATTCACGTGATCACATGTCAGAACCCATGGCAGGGACAGCATTTGTATGTTGTTGCAGACTTGTGTGTGTGTGTGTGTGTGAGAGAGAGAGAGAGTCTACAAGTGTGGGTAGTGTGTGTTCATGTTCACTCCTATGTTGAGTACAGGGAAGTTCCATGAGTTCATGGTAGGTTCAGGAATTGTGGTTAGGAAGGATGGCCTCAGATGGGATAGCCTTGGAGGCAGTGGGCTAACCCAAGCCAGGAAAGCTAGTAGATGGTTTGTGCCAGTGGCAGAGAAAAGGGGATCAGAGCTACTGAGATTTCTGGCCCTGAGTCTAAAATTTGGGATTCTGCTAGTAGGGCAGTAAAGATGGAGACCAGAGTCCTAGGAAGCCAGGACCAGAGCAGATAGGTAAGGCCTCCTTGGAGACAGAAGTGCGTGAGTAGAGGACGTGGAGCAACCACTCCACCTGGAACTCTAGAACTTGGCCTTCAGATCTCCTGCCCCATGCCTACCTGGTCTCAGGATGTCTGCCTGTAGCTCTGGGCATTTTCACACAGGGGCTTGTTTGGGTGTGAGTAGAGGGGCCATACACCAATTCGTGCCACCCTGACCATCTCTGTGTACCTTCTGCCACCACAGGAGGAGCCATGGGAGGGGCCCTTAGCGCCGTGGCCTTGATGGTGGACCTGGCAGTGTCCAGAGATGTGCAGGAGAGTGCCGTGGCCTTCTTCCTCATTGCAGCCATCTTCCTCGGGCTCTGCATGGGGCTCTACCTGCTGTTACCCCGGCTGGAGTATGCCAGGTGAGAGGGCATCCCACCCCACCTGCCCCTCCGGCTTCATTTGACAACAGTGACAGATGGCTGGTATCTACTTGCTCTGTTCCTCATCTAATTAGATCAGCAGTCCCTGTTTTTGTCTGTCTCTTCCCCCAGTGCAAGCTCCGAGAGGACAGAAACTTGTGGAAGGTCCTGCTTTATTCCAGTCCTACTGCAGAGCCCAGCTCAGCAGTTGCTTGGTCAGTCAGTGGTGGCTAGGAGAAGCAGCAGTCTGCAAGTTTGGGGAAGGTTGGAAAGCAGGCAGCAGAAGTGAGACTCAAGCAACAACAGATCCCAGTCACTGAATGCACCCTGTTTCTGTGCAGGCTCAGCCTAGCTGGTGGGGGTGGGGGAGAGGCTTGTCTTAGTCAGTGCCTGCACACCCTTGTTCCTGTGGGGTTGCTATGAATTTTTACTCCGTTACACAAATTAGAAAACCAGTCATCCAATCCCCAGTGCCCCAGGATGTGAACAGAACTCCCCAACTCTGCTTTTCACTTCTCCAGCTCTGTGGACTGCTTGCCAGTCTCCAGGACCCATTGAGTCTATCCTTCATTTTCTTCTCTACTTTCTCCTGAGCCTTTCCTGCTCCCAGACTACCTTCTTGCAAGATTACTCACTTCAGAGCCTTTGTCTTATTAAGTGTGGGCAGGAGGGCTGTCTCCACTTTACAAGTGAGGACACCGAGACTAAGCAAAGGCCAGGTGGCTGGCCTACTTGGACCCTCTGTGGCTTGTACTTTGTATGCTGCTCTGAGCACCTGCCACAGCTAGGTACACTGCAGGTTCCCACATTGTATACTTGGAAGCCCCACATGACCCATACCACCGTGGCCCTCTGACCACATTGCTCTTCCTGCCACAGGTACTACATGAGGCCAGCGCATCCAGTCCACATTTTTTCTGGTGAGGAGGAGCTACCACAGGATTCCCCCAGTTCCCCCTTGCTTCTCCCCAGATCCCAAGAGTCCCACACACCGCCCCTGCGGCCCATCCTGAAGAAGACTGCTGGCCTGGGCTTCTGCATCATCTATATCTTCTTCATCAGCAGTCTCATCTTCCCTGCCATCTCCACCAATATTGAGTCCCTGCACAAGGCTTCCGGCTCACCATGGACCACCAAGTTCTTCGTGCCCCTCACCGTCTTCCTCCTGTACAACTTTGCTGACCTTTGTGGCCGGCAGATCACTGCCTGGATCCAGGTGCCAGGCCCCAAGAGCAAAGTGCTCCCGGGGCTGGTTTTCCTGCGCACCTGCCTCGTCCCCCTCTTTATGCTATGCAACTATCAGCCCCGCACCCACCTGACCACCATGCTCTTCCAGTCTGATGTCTACCCCATGCTCTTCACCTGCCTCCTGGGGCTCAGCCACGGCTACCTCAGCACTCTTGCTCTCATCTATGGGCCCAAGATTGTGCCCCGGGAGCTAGCTGAAGCCACTGGGGTGGTGATGTCCTTCTATCCGATAGCAGGCCTGGCTCTAGGCACCTCCTGCTCAGCTGTGCTGGAGCACCTCATCTAGGAGGAGCAGCCAGAGCATCGGTGCTGCACATAGCTTTGGGCTGCTGGTTGCCCAAAGCTGGTGGCCAGGGTCTTGAATGTCAGGGAAAAAGGGGCTCATGTTTCTCTTGATGTAGAGAACAGAGCCCATCGGGGTTTCCTTGGTTCTAGGGCCCTGGGGAACAATTGCACACACTACTGGAGCATTTGAAGAGGGCTGTAAAGCGAAGTGTTGCCCTCAGAGCTAATGAATGGCATCTATTGGTTTGTGAAGACCAGAACCTGGTGGTAGCACTCTGTACTCTTCAGCCTTGCCTCTTCCAGGCCACAGCAAGATGAAAGGGAATTGTCATCCTTTTCTACTCTGAAGGAGTCCCCTGGATTTGAGTTCCAGTCCAGTGGCCAGTCCCTCAGCCCCAGCACCCAAGTCTGCACTAATCCCTGTGCTCTGTGGGTGAAAGTCCAGAATGAAGGACCAGAGAGACAGGCTTCCTGAACTCTTGGCCTCAGCGTGGCTCCAGAGATTTCCCTGGGCAAGGACTGAGCAAGGCAGACCTGAGTTTTCAGATGTGGATCGTGGGCTTCGTGGTTGATCTAGACCTTTGGATGGGGGGGCATAGTAGATAATGGGTATTGAACAGGAACCCTGTTAATGTTTGTCAGTCAGGACCTCAGCAGGAAGCAGCATCTTAACATTGGATAACTTGGGGATATTTGGGAGTTTGCTGGTTTGCAATAGGGTTGAGCCCATGGCCTCATGCATGCTAGGCAAGCATTCTACCAGTGAGCTATAGATCTAGTCCCTAATTTGAGAAGATTTTAAGAGAAGATGTAGGAACCCCAAGGGTTATACACACTACCCAAGAGCCCTAATGCTCTTCCACCCTGCACCTACAGGGAAGAGGAGAGTGAGTCCTTCTAGAACCTAGATCTTTAAACTTGCCTAGATGAAGAGGGGCTATATCCAGCTGTGATGCCCTCTGCCTTTTCCTCTTCTTCCTCCTCCTCTTCCTTCTCCTCTCCCTCTTCCTCCTCCTCTTCCTCTTACACTTCTTCCTCTTTCTCATCCTCTGGGCCTCTGGGGACAGACAACTCCCAGGCCTCATCGCCCAGTTGCAATGCCTGACCCCAGAAATAACAGGTTCCTTTAGGTGCCTGGAAAGCTCTGGCAAGGCTGACCATCACAGGGAGAGGGTGGCTTGGGGATGGGCAAGAGCGGGGGAGAGGGAAACAAGCAGACCAAGCAGAGCAGTTTGTCCTGGGAACTTTCAACCACCCCAAGATCTATGGGGAGCTATGCTCTGCAGGATGACGTGCAGCCTCCCAGGGACTCTGCTTAGTGGGGAAGCAACGCTGGTAATCCACCCTATGGTAGTAGTTTACTCCCTGCTGTCCGCTTCATACTCCTCCCTCTCCAAGGCTGGAGAATTGAAGAAGATACCCTTGAGAGATTTTCTAAATTCAGCACCTCCAAACCAATCTCCCCCTGCCCCAGGAGCTGCCACCTCCCTTCCCCAGTGTAATGCTGTGGGTGATTTGGGGCAGGGGTCTGGCTGGTGACATCCTGGCTGCAGTGGTATAGAAATAGCCAGCATAGCTGAGAGGGAATGGGGTCGTGGGGGTCCCATGTGCTCTGTTGATGGGTAGCTTTCAAAGAAGAAGGGCAGTGTTTGCATTAGAGAAATCGCTTGAGGTCAGCTTGGAGTGAGGGGAAAGGAGGAGAGGGACCACCTGCCCTTCCTCCTGGGGGAGAAAAACCAGGGTGACTGGCAAGCAGGAACTGGTGACAGCTGTCACTTACCTAAGTGGGTGTATTTCAGGACTTGGTCTTGGGTATGACTGGTACAGTCATGCCCAGGAAAGGAGAAAGGGAAGTGAAAATGTACATCCAGGCTATGGGTAGACAGGGTGGGCCTCAGGATCCTTCTTCCCCTCCCCTACCTCAAACCTTTCACTGTGAGCAGCAACTCAGGTTTGATTGTTCTGTGTCTTAAGTTTCTTGTGACCAGGTGAGCAGAGCTTGTTCCCAGGATATGGCCTCCAGCTCAAGTGATCTGTGAACCCAGTCCAGACACTTGAGAAGGTGGACAGCTTGCTGAAGGGAAGGGGATTTTCCTGTGTGGGAGGTTGTGAAGTTCCCTTTGTCTTAAGTTTTCTGTTTTCATCCCAAATGTTACATTTCATATATCTCCAGACCATGCACATTCCACTTCCCTTCTTTTATTCAGTAAAGAAAGGCAGAGGTAAACCAAGAGCTGTGGCTCACACTTGTAATTCAGCTATTCCAAGCAAAAAGTTATGGAACCCTGTCTCAAAAACAAACCAGGTGTGGTAGTCACAGCTGTAATCCCAGCCACTCAGGAAGTGAAGCAGAAGGATCTCAGTCTAAGTGCTTACCTGGGCAGATGTGTAAGGCTTTTTTCTAAAAAGTAACCTAAAGGAAATGCGTTGGGAGATATGGCTAAAAATGGAAGAGCATCTGCCTAGCAAGCATATAGCCCTAAATTTAAAACCCAGTACCTTAAAACAAACAAAAGTCCACATTAGTGGGCTCTTCAGCTGGTGGATGACAAGCTCTTCTAAGAGGAGACATGAGCAGACTTGAATAAAAGCCCCTCATGCAAGCTGCCCAGGCCAGGGTACATGGGACCAACCAATCAGCTCAGAGTGTGGTAGGAGGAGCCTAGGCCCAGCTTTGGACTCAGTAAAGGAGGTTTCGTTCTCAGAAGAGGCTGGGGCTAGTCTTGGAGCCAAAAACCTCAACTCCAGGAGAGCTCGTCTACCCTGCTGCCCAATTCCTGGTCCAGAATTGCCCTGGAGATCAGTGCTTTGCCTATATAAATTCTGTACATGAACCCAGGTTGGCTCAGAGAGCCTCAGAGGCACCCATAGGCTCACCCTGTCTCCATCATGAACACAGGCACAGCACAGAAGCTGCAGGCTTTAGAGGCACTTGAAGCAGCAACACTTATAAACACACAATAAGGTAGAGAGTTTGGCCATGTAGGCATCAGTGCTCTCCAGTCCTAGGCAGGAAGCCACAGCAGGCCCCCCCCCACACCCCATCCTGACACAGGATGGCCACACCTCCTATTTCTGATAGACAATACCTAGAGCTGAAGGCCCTCAGACCACTACCTCCAACCCCTGGCTCTTGATGGAACCATATTAGGCCCCTGTAGCCAAGATGAAGCTGAGTTCTGTAGGGGCCAAGAGATTGGAATGCCAATCTCAGAAAAGTTCCCAGAATGCTGGGACTGGAGCCCTGGAAAGATCCAACAGTCTAGGCAATGCAGAGGGTCAAATGACTACCCTGTGTGTTGAAAATGAGAGTCCATGTTAATGTTGGAATGTTCATTGCTTCCCTCCAGCTTCCTAAGATAAGGTCAATTATCACTTGTATGCAAATAGTGCCTCATGTTGTAACCCTAGCCTTCCCACATATCTTTATTCCCCTCCCTCTGTTCTAAATTCAATAAAAACCCTTGTTAATGAGGTCCTGGCATCCAACAGCTGGAATTGATTCATGTCCCTTGGTCCCCCCAAAACCTGGCTGTATTGCTCTTGGTCGTGGCAGATTGGCCGATTGTGACACCGGCAAACACCAGACCTGAGATGACCAGAAGATTCTCCCAGACTGAGCATGCTCTGTGCTGCTCCTATTTTGGAAAGAGCTCGTCCCCCCCACCATACATTCCCCACTTGCATCTCCCCAGTAGTGTCACTGCCCAAGCCCAGCCTACTCCCTGCAGTTCAACCAAGACAATGTTCTAGTGCTCCTGGATTTCATATGTCATTCTTACTTCTAAGAACTTTACAAAGGCCTTCATCTGAAGGCCTTGGGTGGAATGAGTGGTTCCTAGGGTCCCTGGGGCCATGTGTGGCAGTATATGTGACTCTGTCCCTTGCAGATGGTACTCATGTCCACGGGCAGCACTTGAGAGCCAGTCTGCCTTGTGTTGAAGCTGCCTTGTCTCTTGTTCATCAGTGACTTCGAGTAAGACTTAAGTTTTCTATGTCTCAGCATCCTAGTGTATATAAGGCAGTGCATATCCTAGAGTTCTGGTGATGACAAGGGAGTTGATCCATGGGGGCTGGAGGACCACTCATCTTCCTCATTATGTGGGGAGGGCGTAGGACAGAGGGGTTCTTGGTACTGTTCTGGTAAGGAAAGATAGAGACCTACCCAGTGGGCAGCCTCTGCCTGTGAGTGCAGTAAGTCCTGCTGACTGGCAGGTGGAAGAGATTGTGGCAGAATAGAATCTGCTTGCTGCTTCCAGAGGTGGAAGGCTACCCTTTATGGAATCTGTGATGTGAACCAGATCCACTCAGTTTCCATCCAGGTCATGGGATGCAGTAATGGCTTTGGGCTTGAGTCAGAGGCCACACCTCTCAGTGCACCTGGAACATCAGCCTGTAGCATCTCTTCTGTGGCCTTGTGGAAGACCCCTGTTTCATCTGATGCCTGGAGAGCGCAGAGAACCACTGCCACTTGAAGCCGAGGGAGCCATGGAGTTGATGTGTCAGCTGCATTGCAGCCTCTGTCATCCCTCACTCTAGAGGAGCCCCACCTGAGATTAAGGCATGCAGCTCTCAGTGGTAGAGCTAGGCTTTGTCCCAGCTTGCACACTCCTGAATCCAACTCCTGGGTGTTCTGTACAGCAGATACAGTGGTTCATCAGATCCTGGGAAGTGCTTGGAGGATCGCAGAGGCCTGAACTTGCCCTTCCACAGGATGGGTATGAACTGGCAGTTCACCCTGCTATCAAGTTCCCAGGAGGTGCTGATGCTGCCAGTCTAAAGACACCACCTCAAGAACCATTGTGCTCCTGAAGACAAATGAGGCACTGTCAGGAGCTTGCCCCTGGCCCAGAGTGAGAGCAGAGAGCCGGGGCTTCATCTGTTCTTGTTCCGGCTCAGGCCTCAGGGCTAGACCGTTTTTAAAGGAGCCATTGCATTTCAGACCCTCATTCAACCCTCCATAAACATGGCTGCAGAGTCAGGTGGCCTCTGCATCTTAAGTGCCAAGCGTGTCCTCTCCACTGATGCCCACCAAGGCTGCTATGCAGAGGCTTCCCGCTCAGTTGCATCCTTCCCACCTGCTCTCATCAGGTGAGGCCCACCATCATAAATATTCAGGAGGGAGATGGGAGGGGTGAGAAAGGAGAGGGCAGAAGGGCA